TTTTATATACCACCAATATTAAAAACCAAAAAATTCAAGCAATGCAAATATGAAGCGTTCAAGGTTATCGTGCATGTAATAACCATATATAGTAATAAAACATGTAGTAATTCTTCATTGACGTCAAAAAATGCAAAACATCTCAATTAGTAACTTCTAGACACTCAGTAATGTCAATCAATCAACTTGAAAAGTCAAGGTTATATTCTAAATTTAAGCAAAAAATAGTATCAGATTGTACCAAGTACAATGAAGGGTGTATAGCAAGTTCACCCAAGGGTAATAATACCATAAATAGATTAAATGAAAGGAAATACAATTTTTTATATCAAATTCCAATAGTATATAAGAGCTTTCTCGTTAACAATTTCTTTATTATAAAGAAAAAAATGGACTCAAACGTGTCATATGAAGATTTTTTACTTTATTTGAAAGATAAAAAAAACAAAAATCGCTTCGATATATTTATAAAAAGAAATAAAGAAAAAAAATTAAAAGCAAAAAAAAATCAAGACGAAAATCAATTTCAAGAAGAAAATTAATTTCAAAAGAATAATGAATATGTCTCTCTACAAACACCCATACCGAATTGGATAAATACTGAGACAAATAACGAGACAAATTCTGAGACAAGCTGCATCGAAAATCAAAATCGTGCATCATCATCACCAGATTCTCCACAACCTATGGATGAAGATACAGCAGAAAAGAGTGATGGTAAAATTCCTTTGAATACTTATCACGATAATATTCAAAAATCATCTCCTTTACCCATAATTAATAATGTATATTCAACAAAAGATTCTCCTACTAAAAAAAACTACAACTCTTATGAATATCATGTCTCCAATCACAACTACAAGTATGATGTCACCAAACTCGATGTCTTTCTTAAAATATAATGTCCCCACACCGCGCACTTTTTTAAGAGAACTTGGGGACATTGAATTTAATCAAGATCAAGGATTTACAACTCCTCCTAATATTAATAATTCTATGAATCAAAATCAAGGAAATACATCTCCTCCTCCTGAACAAATGAATCAAGATCAAGTATTTGCTAATCCCAATCTAGTATTTACAAGTCCTCCTCATAATCTTAATGAATGGATAGGTAAAAAAAGAGAATTAATGGATGCTACGGAAAGTAAAAAAAAAAGAGAGGACGTCCAACCAAAAAAAAAACTTGAAGAATACAACAACGAAATCGGTAAAAATCCTGAATACTCTTGTAATATGTTATCTTTTAACACCGGTCAAAATTGTATTAATAGGCAATTTTATTCACTTATAAAAGGAAATATCATATGTAAAAATGAGGAAGAAGCAAATTTTTTAATTGATCTATTTGAGAGAAGAAAAAATTACTTGATAAATTAAAAGAACTCAACCAAGAAATTAATTTAAACAACACAATGGAGTATTTTTTTAGAAAAATGTCTTAAAATTAATTTATATACATCAAGTTGTAAATACTTCATCTAATACTTCATATAATAAAAAATTCATGTTTTTGTATTTTATTGAGGGTAGTATCAGCTTGTACAAGACACGGTTCTTAAAGATGCTCGCTTAATTGATGGGATGGTTGTTGGTGTTAATAAATCAGTTCTACATATCGGACAGTTAGAAAATCATTGTAATAATAATTGTGTCAAACAATCAAAATGTATTTTGTGACCGCATTTTAACATTCCGATTCCAGTTAATATATCTTCCAAACATATCATACATTGAACATGTTCGTTCTTGCATATATGATATTGATTTTTTCCTTTTTCCTTTTCGAAACACGATCGACTGCATATATGATATTGATTTTTTCCTTTTTCCTTTTCGAAACACGAATCACAAGCATCACAATGAAATGATCTATGTAATTTAACTCTACAAACACCACATTTTATACAAAGATAAGGATCTTTCGAATAATCATCGTAAAACTTACATTGGACACAAAAATAGTCAGCCAACTTTTTCTTACACTTGATACAATATTGTTGAATTCCTTGCTCAAAACCACAATAATTACACATTATCCAGGAAATATCTTTTGGATTGACTTTTTTTTTGCAAAAATGATCTTTATTATGACAATGATGACATGGATAAAATCTTTCACAACATTTAAAATAAAAAGAACAATTTTTTTTAGAGTGTATACAATTTGTAAACATACATTGATACTTCTGTATCCGAGACATTTTTCCATCAATCTGTTTTTACATGGAAGGCTAAGTTATATATATACACACATCTTCACCTATTCAGCTAGATAGGAAATTACTTTTTCAACATTACTGTTCATAAGTACTTTCATTTTTTCAAAATGTTGATGATTATCATCATTTTCATCCAAATATTTTTAATACTTTAATAAATGCTTCAATAAGTGATTTTTGTTCCAAGATATATTTCTTTTCAGTTGCATCAAAATCATTCTTAAATTATCTTCTTGACATTCATCAATAATCAAAAACTCTGCACTGCTTTTTCCAACTCAAAATGACATCTGAAGATAGAAACACTTTATTCGAAATAAAGCCATCATCAGTTAAGAATACTATAGTTCTACTTCGCCAATCTGCCATTATCACCAGCAAGAAATGACACTAAACATCTAACACTCAAATGTCAATCAGACTTCGTCTTCTTAAATATATCTTCTACATTATCTAGAAAACTGAAGCGATCTGGTTGTCGCTTGATGACTGCGGTGATATATATAATACTTTATCCATATTAAATTTGCATTTGAAGACCGCAGCCATTTTTCCGAAATTTCAGGAATTAATACAATAATTCTGTACACGACAGTCATATTACCCAGTAAGAAATTATATTATGCAATATCCGGTACTTTTACCATCTTATATATATCATATAGTTACTATTACAATTTTTTCAATAATATTTTTATAAAATACTTTAATTAAATCCAATTGTGTAATGTGCTTATAAAATTCTTTTTCATCATGATAATAAAAGTAGTCTTCCAATTTTTCTATAAATATGTCAATACTATCTTTTTCGCTGATTATCATCCCTTCATCGCATAATTTGAAAATAAATTTTCTTCCATCTTCAATTTCTTTGTTAAAAATAATCATCCCACCACCATCAATGAGTTTAGATATATATTTTGATTTCATAATAATTTGACTTAAATCTTTTTCTTCATCAAATTCGTCATCGCGCTCAAATATAAAAGCAATACTTTGATTTGAAGATTTCGCCATTATCAATTAGACAACAAAACATTCAAATGAAAAATAAATCTTTTATTGAAGATTTTACATTAAAAGAGCAATAAAAAGGGTAAGAAATTCAAACTTTTTTAAAAAAGAAAAAAAGAAATATGATGAAAAAATTGAGAAATTCGAATTTTTTTATAAAAATAACAAATATGTTTTTTTACAATAAAAGGTAAGAAAGGTTAAATTTTTTTATTTATTTACTAAAAAAGTGTAATATATAAATCCTTAATATCAATGTAGGTAAGATAACAACATTGGTATTGAATAAAGAAAGATGGAAAAAATGATGTGAATAACCCTTCCAAAATTATGGTGGATTTGGAAATATTTCATATGGAAACCGTCAACATTTCGTGAATTTAATAAATTTAATTCACACCATATTTCTCCTCTAAAAAGCTGTAAGCAATCAATATGTACAAAATGTATCTATTGTGAAATTGAATGTTCTGTAGAATCAAAAGTTTTTTCTGAATTTAACAAAATAATACCACTAATAAATGGAGAAATAAAAAAAATTGAAGAAAAACTTACAGAGAAAATTGATGAATTTATAAATCATCTAAGAATGGAATTTGAGTTTGATATAAAAGAAATGTATGAAAAAGTAGTTTAATATAAAAGAAATGTATGAAAAAGTAGAAGAAGTAAGAAAAAAAGACAAAAAAAGATTTTTTATTAATTCAAAATAAAGTTATTTGTGTAAAAATGTTTGTACTTATAAAAAAAGAAAAATAAAAAAACCCATAAAAGGAAGCATTACAATGATTGGTTACTAGTAATCATTGTGAGGCTTGATTTCATGGTAATATTTACATGATGCCGAAGAAACTTATATATACATGCAAGAGAAAATACTAAACCACACAATGTGTGACATACGATCTTCTACAAATTCTTTTACATGCGTTTGTGTACAAATAGAAGATTGGATTAATTGGTTTTGGAGCAAAAAAGTTGGTGAAAAGACTGAGTCATATTTACGATTCTTTCTTGTGGATCATGTGATAAAGTGAGACAATTTTTATCATCAGTAAATTGGACTTTGGGAAAATTTAAAATGTGTAACATACGTGCTGGATCGAGTTTTTATCAATGTCTTTGTTTACAAATAGAAGATTGGCTTAATTGGTTTTGGGATGAAGAATTTGGTGAAAAGTTTGATTCCTTTTATCGTTTCTTTAATGTGGATGAAGCATTGAAGCGTGACAATTTGTATCATCAATAAATTGGATTTTGGACTTTCCACAATATCATTTTAAAAAATTGGACTTTGGACTTTCATCAATGTAATTATTTTATATTGTATTTGAAATATATATTTTTTTTTATGAAATCTTCTTGTTTATATATTTTATATTACTCTTATCCACTATTCTAATATATATATGTATATTATCACAGGCTCACCTTTCTCAATTTTTATGTTTACTACCGCTGACTGTCTCAAAAACGATCCCCCCGGTTTTTTTTATTATAAGATGTATTATGACTATTTTTAGACATAATACATGTTATAATAAATAAACTTGAGCCTGCGATGATATATATATATATATATTAGTTAACTACCAAAGTAAATTTAAAATTTTTTAGTATTTGTAAAAAATACCACCGGTCTCAAACTACAAGCTTTGCGGAACGAACGGAAGTCGTTACAGATCAAAATATCAACTGTTTATACAAAAGTTTTGTTATTTCAAAATGCAGTAAAAGCGCAAGTCCAAACTACCGGATTTTGTGGATTGTGTTGTTTGCTGAAGCATTATTGCTTTTCTTTCTCGACGATTTGTGGTCGAAAATTCCTTCAACTTCGTTGGTAATTGAAACATTTGTTGATCTTGTGACGGCGTGATACGATTCACCGTATCCTAATTTTGATACCAGTTTTGCACTATTTCAGTCAAATTATAATAAAGCCCGTTTATATGTGAGCATCTCAAATGATGATGCTCCCCACACTTGAACGATGAATTCTGTAATTTAGATTCCCTTCCTGACAGTACAACTACTAGTGCGTTAAAGGGTTTGTATGAGAAAGTGCAAACACTAGAACAAAACATGGACAAATTGCGTTTCATTTTCCCAATTTCACATCTCTATACTATCAAAAAATGTGCTTCAAGTATTTCTTATAATATCATTTTTCATCATTCATTGTATTCATTGTTTAAAACGTATAAAGACACAATGACGTGTACACTCACTCAATGCATTTCCGTTCCTCACGATTATTTCTTATGCTCTAATGGCCTAGCTCCGGCTTTGTATTCAATTGTAGCCGTTAATACTATGATTTTATTTGTGAGTGGAGTGTTTCTGTTTTGGAAAAGTTTTAGGTTTATTCAATTGTGTCGTACACAAAATATTTACCATTTTTCCGAAAAATTACCCCAACAATCTTTTGATCAGCTATTCGATGTAGATCCAATATGTGGAGATTTTGGCTTTTATCTTCATTTATTGGACTCTTACAACAAAATGTACGTTATAAGGTTTGCTCATTTCCTTTCCAAAAAAAACAGAAAGAAGATCGATGCCCATAAATTAAACATTAAATTTCCTGTTTCACTTCTACAAGCCACTGTAGAAAAAGAACAAAAACTATCGTTTAGCACTTTTCCAGGAGTTCCTCAGACGATTTTTGATCAATTTGTTTGCGAAAATCTCGTCCACCTCAAATTTAGCAACTGCCGTTTTTATCCCGATAGTTTTGAGAAGTTTACCGAGCTTACCTATCTGAAAGATTTGCCCATGCTAGATTGTCACCTGATGTCAGTTCCGAAAGGAATTCTTGATTTGGCAGGGCTTAAAGTACTTCATCTTGGTAGAAATCTGATAAAAAAATTGATGTTGAAATTTCAGCTTTGAAAATGATAAAGATCCTCAGGCTTGACATTAAGAAACTTCGAAAAATTGCATCAAACTCATTGACACAATTGGAAAACCTCCAATCACTTAATATCCATGGTAATCATTATTTGGAAAATGGTGCTTTCCGTGAGGTCCTTGCATGTAGGAATTTGTGCCACTTGGAATATCTATCCCATTTGAAAGAAAGACTAACAGACAAATTGAATGAAACTGAATAGAAAAGCTAAACTATAGTACCTCAAAAAAGTTTGAAGGGAGAAGGAGATTGTTAGGAGCGTGATCACGAAACTCTTCAAGATTCAGTTAGATCGTCGTTGGTGATATTTTTAAAATTTGCTTTTGTTTCTCATAGGATGTTTGGTTTAAATACGATGGTTTTTCTATTAAATTTGATTTTTTGTATGATAATTATTTAAAAAAACTATTATTAAATTTACATTTTTTTAATAAAATTTGACATTACTTATTTATCAGTATATATATAATAGTTTTATGGGTTTTTAAGTGCAATTTGGAAAATACATGCACGAGTGAGTGAGTTTTCATAGATAATTGAAGGTGAAACTGTTGAGATTAAGGGTTGCGTCTACGAAGTTAACTTTTATATATAGCTTTAATGCTTAGTTTAATCTGGCTAAAATAGCACCTTATTTCTATTTATGTTCTTTTAACGTGTTTGAGTAGAGCGTTGGAGATCGATATTCCGTCGTTTTTGTTTGCGAATTCCTGCGTTTTGTTGCATGTTTGTAACTGAATTAGTACTTTTATTTACTATTTCATACTTTCTACTATTAGCTAGTTTCAGAACCATCGAAAATGCTCATTATACGACATCAAACACATTATTAAATGGCTTTTGATATCGTTGCTGCCATGCCCGAGCGGAGCACCAAAGGTGCAAGTACTTCTGAAGAAATCATGGAAGAATCCTCCACATAAATGTTTTCAAATAAGAAATGTCTCAAATAGCCTTTTTTTTAGACTTTAGATATTGAGTGATGTAATATTTTGAATTGCATAATTTCAGGTACGTCTTTGCAAATCAAATTCGAAATTCAATGCCCTATATTCATTTCTGCAATGTATGCCCTTCATTTACTTCCCATAATGAAATACAGCTGGCCAGTGGCCATGGCATCTTTGCACCCTTACCATCATGCCAATGGATTTGAAAAATTTTTTGACTTCTTGCAACCATCATTAGCTTGTTTTCAAGAACATGCTTCGACATAGCATTTAGGGTGCATGTATTCGAATCGAATGTTGAATGCTCTGTCGCTTTTCTTATTTTAAACATGTGATCGAACGACATCACCATGATCTTTCTTTGCTCACTTCACTTTTTCTAATTCAAAATTAATTACTAACGAATTTTACATTTCATATGCCTAATATTTCGAGATGTCATGTGTCCTCATAAACAAAATACTTTGCTGATAAAAAGATTTAGCGGCAGCAACAACAAATCTTCACACACGTTTTATTATTTTTATTCTATAATTTAGATTTCTGAATTGTCTTTTCAACGAGTATAGCGATAAAAGAAAATGTATAACTGATGTGTAGCTATATGATTTTATTACAGTGTCTCTGTAACAAGTCTTGCTGTTTTAATTAAATGGCAAGTGTAAAAATGAATGTGCATGTCTGGAGAGGAAGTGAATTTAAACTTGATTAGCAATTACAACTAACAAATAGAATTTGTGTATTTTAATTAACTATATTCCTGTGAGAGGACAAAGTACAGAACGCTAACTTAAAATTGATAATCCGTCCTGATTAATTTTATCAATTTATCAAAATGATGTCCATGGATTATTTCTGGAAGAATGGGAATGAAAATTTTAAGATTTTGAAATCTGACTTGAATGTTTGGTATGAGTATTTAATGATACTTTTGGCAATGTTAGCTGTTCTAGCTGCTGGAATAGAGGTAACGTCGAGCAGTTTGGAATGTGTTCCAGTTATCAATTGTCGCAACATAGCAAATAACATTTCCAATGCGTCATGGCCACAAGTAAATTTTAGATTTTCTAGTCTTTGCAAAATATACCACCGGTCTGAAACTACAAGCTTTGCGGAACGAACGGAAGTCGTTACAGATGAAAATATCAACTGTTTATACAAACGTTTTGTCAATTCAGAATGCAGTAAAAGCGCAATTCCATACTACCGGTATTTATGGATCATGCTGTTTGCTGAAGCATTATTGCTTTTCTATCTCGACAATATATGGTTGAAAATTCCTTCAACTTCGTCGGTAATTGAAAAATTTGTTGATCTTGTGATGACGTGTAACGATTCACCGTGTCCTAATTTTGAAGTCACTTTTGCACTATTTCAGTCAAATTATAGGAAAACTGCAGGACATGTGAGCATCTCAAATGATGATACTCCCAACTCTAACGATGAATTCTACAATTTAGATTTCCTTCCTGACAGTACAACTACTAGTGCGTTAAAGGGTTTGTATGAGAAAGTGCAAACACTAAAACAAAGCTTGACCACAAAGGAAAACGTTTCCAAAATTTCAAATCGCTATACTGTCACTAGTATGTTTGAAGTATTTTGGATAATAATATCTGTCATCCTTAATCTTTTTTATTATTCGAAAGATATAAAAGACACAATGACGTGTACACTCACTCAAAGCATTTCCGTTCCTCACGACTATTTCTTATGCTCTGATAGCCTAGCTTTGGCTTTGTCTTTTATTGTATACATTTATAATGTGATTTTATCTGTGAGTGGAGTGCTAGTAATTTGGAAAAGTTTTACGTTTATTCAATTGTCTCGTACAAAAAGTATTTATGACTTTTCCGTAAAATTACCTCAACAATCTTTTAATCAGCTATCCGATGTAGATCCAATATGTGGAGATCTTGGTTTTTTTTTCTTCATTTATTGGACTCTTAAAACAAAATGTACGTTATAAGGTTTGCTCATTTCCTTTCAAAAGAGAATGAAAAGAATATCGATGCCCATACATTAAACATTGAATATCCTGCTTCAATTCTACAAGCTACTGTAGAAAAAGAACAGAAACTATCGTTTAGCAATCTTCCGGGAATTCCTTATACGATTTTTGATCAATTAGTTTGCGAAAATCTCGTTCACCTCAACTTTAGCAACTGCCATTTTTATCCCGATAGTTTTGAGAACTTTAACAAGCTTACCTATCTGAAAGATTTGTCCATGCTAGATTGTCACCTGACGTCAATTCCGAAAGGAATTTTTGATTTGGCAAAGCTTGAAGAACTTCATCTTAGTAGAAATTTAATAAAAAAAATTGATGTTGAAATTTCAGCTTTGAAGAATGTAAAGGTCCTCAGGCTTGACAATAACAAACTTCAAACAATTGCACCGAACTCATTGACACGATTGGAAAATCTCGAATCACTTAATATCGAAGGTAATCACGATTTGAAAATGGACGCTCCCCGTGAGGTTCGTTCATGTAAGAATTTGTGCCACTTGCAATATCCTTCCCATCTGGCAGAAAGAGTAACAGACGAATTAAATGGAACTGAATAGAAAAGCTAAACTATGTTACATTCAAGAAAATTTCTGAAAAGATTAAACAGAAGAAAACAGAAAGAGGGATAAGTTGTCAAAAACAATTTTCTCGTGATTTTTGTATGTATGATAACGATTTTTTAAATAATTCTCACCAAAATTCAACGTTTCTGGCTCATTTTTGTACTTGGTGCTTTACTGTAAATTAATTACTAAATATATAATGTTGACTCACTCTTTGACAACACAAAGTGTATGGTGGCTAAAAGCTACTTTTCAATTTTTCTAAAAAATAATGAATAGAAATAATAAAATTAAAACGAATAATTAATAAGTGCAATTCAAAGCAGGAAAAAAAACAAGTTCAATTTAATATTCTTGTCACAAAATGAAAATAAAATCAATTGAATGTAAATTCAAGTTTCCGCACGTCTTAAAGCTGCCATAGTATAACAAAATACCTTGCGTGCATCATGTCAACTTGCTGCAAAATGAAATTTAGGTGTATTTTTGTCAAATGCACATTTGAAATTTCCCGATATATGAACAAACGTCTATAGGTCTCAAAAAAAAACTTTATTGAAATAACGGAAGTCGTTACAGATCACAAGATCCACTCTGGGTACAAATGTTTTGTCAGTTCTGAATGCGGCAAACGTGCAACTACAAACTCTTTCGTTAATATGTGGATCATTTTATTTATTGAAGCGTTGTGGCTTTTGATTCTTGACAATTTCTTGTTAAAACTTCCTTTAACCTCGTCGGTAATAGAAACATTTGTTCATCTCGTAATGGCGTGTTATAATTCACCATTTCTAAACTTTGCAGCTCCTTTTACATTCCTCCAGTCAAATTCCAATAAAACCCAAGGCTACGTCAACATCTCAATAGATAACCCTGTCGACTTGACTGATCACGATCAATTGTACAATGTAGATTTCCTTCCAGACAATACATCCCCCATTGTGTTGATGGGTTTGTATGACAAAGTGCAAACACTAAAAGATATCATATCAACATCACATCCCATTAAAAAAATTTCAAATCTTTATACCATAAAAGATGTTTTTCAATTACCTTCATTAATAATATTTCTCGTCATTAATATTAATTACTTGAAGGACATGAAAAACACAATGAGGTATAAATTAGCTCAGCATATTCCCATCCATCACGAGTACTTCTTATGCTCCTACGTCTTGGCTTCCTCTATGTCTAGTATCGTTCATATTTATCTCGGAGTTTTGGCTGTTAGTGGATTTATATATTTTTTAATAATTATTTGCATAGTTAAATTGCGCCTGAAGAAATATGAGTATGAATAATCTTATCAAATGTTTCTGATAACTTTTGCTGAGCTTTCAGGTATTTCTCAAGTAGATGATGACCTCCGATTTCTCTTGCATCTCTTGCATTCTTACAACAAAATGTACGTTATAAGGTTCGTGCATTTCCTCTCTAAAGAGAACAAAAAGAAGATTGTGGCTCATGCATTGAGCAAAGAATTTCCTGTGAAAGGTTTGCAAACATCATTGGATGAACTCAAGGCATTATCTTTTACTAATCTTCCAGGAATTCCGCTTGGAATTTTCGATCAATTGATATGTGAAAATCTCTTGACACTGAATATAATCAAATACACTCTTGAAGAGGATGATTTCCACAATTTTGATAAGCTTATCGGACTGAAAAGCCTATCCATTGTGAACTGTGGCTTGAAGTCCATACCGAGAGGAATTCTTGCTTTGGAATGTCTTGAAAACTTCGTCTTAATTTAAACCTTATAAATGAGATTAATGTTAACATAGCAACTTTTAAAATCCATAATTCCTCTCACTTAACGATAACGTTCTTTAAAAAAGTTCTCCTGGCTCATTGACACAAATGCCAAATCTCAACTCGCTTGATATCGACGATGATGATTTAGAAATGAAAGCTCTTCATGAGGTCCTTGCATGTAGAAGATTACAAAGCTTGGTTTGTCTTTTTCATCTACTGAAAAATGCAGCAAGTTGACTAAATGAAACAGAACTAGAAAAGCTACATGGGTTTACCGCGGAGAAAGACGAAGAAATGAAATGGAAGAAATAGGATGTTTGGTTTAAATACGATGGTTTTCCTTTTAAAATTGATCTTTCGTATGATCATTTATTCAAAAAACTATTATTAAATATAAAATTTTTTTTTTAATAAAAAATGACATAATTACCGAGAAAATCTTCCCAGTAATTTAAAGACAGGTTACAATAAAAACAATTGTATAAATAAACCAATAAATATAAACATACAAGGAATATTAATACAGATATTAGTGTATATATAATAGTTTTATGGGTTTTTAAGTGCAATTTGGAAAATACATGCACGAGTGAGTGAGTTTTCATAGATAATTGAAGGTGTAACTGTTGAGATTAAGGATTGCATCTACGAAGTTAACTTTTTTTTTATCTTTAATACTTAGTTTAATCTGGCTAAAATAGCACCTTATTTCTATTTATGTTCTTTTAACGTGTTCGAGTAGAGCGTTGGAGATCGATATTCCGTCGTTTTTGTTTACGAATTCCTTCGTTTTTGTTGCATGTTTGTAACTGAATTAGTACTTTTATTTACTATTTCATACTTTCTACTATTAGCTAGCTTCAGAACCATCGAAAATGCTCATTATACGACATCAGTAACGATGTTAAATTGCTTTTGATATCGTTGCTGCCATGTCCAAGCGGAACACCAAAGGTGCAAGCAGTTCTGAAGAAGTCATGGAAGAATCCTCCACATAATTATTGTCAAGTAAGGAATGTCTCAAATACCCTCTTTTTTAGACTTAAGATATTGAGTGATGTAATATTTTGAATTGCAAAATTTCAGGTACGTCTTTGCAAATCAAATTCGAAATTCGATACCCTATATTCATTTCTGCAATGTATGCCCTATATTTACTTCCCATATTGAAATTAACAGCTGGCCAGTGGCCATGTCATCTTTGCACCCCCTACCATCATGCCAATGGATTTGAAAAATTTTTGACTTCTTGCAACCAACATTAGCTTGTTTTCAAGAACATGCTTCGACATAGCATTTAGGGTGCATGTATTCTAATCGAATGTTGAACGCTCTGTCGCTTTTCTTATTTTAAACATGTGATCGAACGACACCACCATGATCTTTCTTTGCACACTTCACTTTTTCTAATTCAAAATTAATACTATCAAATTTTACATTTCATATGCCTAATATTTCGAGATGTCATGTGTCCTCATAAACAAAATACTTTGCTGATAAAAGATTTAGCGTCAGTGACAACAAATCACCACACGTTTTATTATTTTTATTTTATAATTCAGATTTCTGAATTGTTGTTTTAATGATTAGCGCGATACATAAAATATATAACTGATGTATAGCTATATGATTTTATTACAGTGTCTCTGTAACAAGTCTTGTTGTTTTAATTAAATGGCAAGTGTAAAATGTATGTGAATGTCTGGAGAGGAAGTGAATTTAAACTTGATTAGCAATTACAACTAACAAATAGAATTTGTGTATTTTAATGAACTATATTCCTGTGAAAGGACAAAATACAGAACGCTAACTTAAAATTGATAATCCGTCCTTATTAATTTTATCAATTTATCAAAATGATGTCCATGGATTATTTCAGGAAGAATGGGAATGAAAATCTTAAGATTTTGAAATCTTACTCGGATGTTCGGTATGATTATTTAAAGACACTTTTGGCAATGTTAGCTGTTCTAGTTGCTGAATTGGAGGTAACATCGGGCAGTTTGGAATGTGTTCCAGTTGTCAATTGTCGCAACATAGCAAATAACATTTCAAATGCGTCATGGCCACAAGTAAATTTAAAATTTTCTAGTATTTGCAAAAATACCACCGGTCTCAAACTACAAGCTTTGCGGAACAAACGGAAGTCGTTACAGATCAAAATATCAACTGTTTATAAAAAGTTTTGTTATTTCAGAATGCAGTAAAAGCGCAAGTCCAAACTACCGGATTTGTGGATCGTGTTGTTTGCTGAAGCATTATTGCTTTTCTTTCTCGACAATTTGTGGTCGAAAATTCCTTCAACTTCGTTGGTAATTGAAACATTTGTTGATCTTGTGACGGCGTGTTACGATTCACCGTATCCTAATTTTGATACCAGTTTTGCACTATTTCAGTCAAATTATAATAAAACCCGTTTATATGTGAGCATCTCAAATGATGATACTCCCAACTTGAACGATGAATTCTATAATTTAGATTCCCTTCCTGACAGTACAACTACTAGTGCGTTAAAGGGTTTGTATGAGAAAGTGCAAACACTAGAACAAAACATGGACAAATTGCGTTTCATTTTCCCAATTTCACATCTCTATACTATCAAAATATGCTTCAAGTATTTCTTATAATATCATTTTTCATCATTCATTGTATTCATTATTTAAAACGTATAAAGACACAATGACGTGTACACTCACTCAAAGCATTTCCGTTCCTCACGATTATTTCTTATGCTCTAATGGCCTAGCTCCGGCTTTGTATTCAATTGTATACATTTATACTATGATTTTATTTGAGTGGAGTGTTTCTGTTTTGGAAAAGTTTTACGTTTATTCAATTGTCTCGTACACAAAATATTTATGATTTTTCCGAAAATTACCTCAACAATCTTTTGATCAGCTATCCGATGTAGATCCAATATGTGGAGATTTTGGTTTTTCTTCATTTATTGGACTCTTACAACAAAATGTACGTTATAAGGTTTGCTCATTTCCTTTCCAAAAAAAACAGAAAGAAGATCGATGCCCATAAATTAAACATTAAATTTCCTGTTTCACTTCTACAAGCCACTGTAGAAAAAGAACAAAACTATCGTTTAGCACTTTTCCAGGAGTTCCTCAGACGATTTTTGATCAATTTGTTTGCGAAAATCTCGTCCACCTCAAATTTAGCAACTGCCGTTTTTATCCCGATAGTTTTGAGAACTTTAACAAGCTTACCTATCTGAAAGATTTGTCCATGCTAGATTGTCACCTGATGTCAGTTCCGAAAGGAATTCTTGATTTGGCAGGGCTTAAAGTACTTCATCTTGGTAGAAATCTGATAAAAAAATTGATGTTGAAATTTCAGCTTTGAAAATGATAAAGATCCTCAGGCTTGACATTAACAAACTTTGAAAAATTGCACCAAACTCATTGACACGATTGGAAAATCTCCAATCACTTAATATCCATGGTAATCATTATTTGGAAAATGGTGCTTTCCGTGAGGTCCTTGCATGTAGGAATTTGTGCCACTTGGAATATCTATCCCATTTGAAAGAAAGACTAACAGACAAATTGAATGAAACTGAATAGAAAAGCTAAACTATAGTACCTCAAAAAAGTTTGAAGGGAGAAGGAGATTGTTAGGAGCGTG